GACCAAAAACCCCTTCCCCAGAACAGGCAGCCCTGTGAGGGCCAGGAGGAGCYCAGGTGAGCAGCAATGGCCCCGTTCCCCAGGGCAGGGTGTCCCCGTTACCTGCGGGCCCGGTGTCTGCTCGTCCAGCTGGGGCTGCAGCGTCCCCAGCGCCGCCTGGCTCAGGGTGCCCACGCGGCCGGGCTGTCCCCGCAGCGTCACCGTGATGGTCGTGGGGGCCTTCAGGCCTGCAGGACACACAGCAAGGTGGCTGTGACACGGGGGATGTGGGGGCCACCCTCAAAGCAGAGGGGGCTGCTCGGGAGCCACCGGCACGTGGCTGTGCCTGAGGCAGGAGAACCTTCTGGAACATTGGGATGCCCCCTGAGTACCTCCCTGCCCCTCACCTGCAGCCTGATTGGAGATCTGGGCCAGCCCAGGGAGGCTGCTGGCCAGCTTGGCCAGGCCCCCGTTGGTCAGCAGCTGGTGGATGGCCGTGGGCTTGCCGCCGGCAGAGGCTCCCAGGGACAGCGAGGTGGCCACGGGGATGGTGCGGACGATGGCGCCGGTGTCCGTGGTGATGGCACCCAGGCTCTGCAGGGCTGTGGGTGCCTTCACAGCCGAGCTCTGCAAGGACAGACACAAACCCTGAGCCCTGCAAGGAAAGCAGAGCCAGGGATGGCTGCTCTCCCTCTCCAGMCTGAAATCTTTGGGGTTCCCACATTTCCTCCTTGGCCACACACAGGGCTGAATTCCCAGAACTTTTATAACGTCTCACTTCAACCTGAAATTCTGACTGGGACAAAAGTGACTTCCCTGAGGTCACCTTGCACTGACACAGGTGTGGGTTTTCCCAGAATGTCACGGAGAACGAGCACCAAGCCCTCTAAATCTGTTCTGTAACAGCAGTTTCACAGAATCACGGAATCCCAAAATGCCAGAATCCCAGAATCTCGGAATCACACAGTCAGAAAGTCAGAGAGTCACGGAACCCCGGAATCACAGAATCACAAAATCACAGAGTTACAGAGAATTACAGAATCAATCACAGAATCACAGAGTCATAAAATCCCAGAATCTCAGAATCCCCTGGGTTGGCAGAGACCTTCAAGATCTCCCAGTCCAAGCCCTGCCCTGACACCCCAACCGACCCACAGCATCARCCCCACATGCAATGTTTGTTAAACACAGCCAGGGATGGTGACTGCACCCCCTCCCCGGGCAGACCATCCCAGTGCTTCATCGTTCTTTCTGTAAAAAGCTTTTTCCTGATATCCAACCTCCATTTCCCTTGGCACAGCTCAGGGGAAATCTCTCGTTCTGTGCCCTCTGGCTCCCGACCCCCCTGCTCACAGCCCCTCTCAGGTGGTTTGCAGGTGGCTGCACAAAAACACCACCCCACAGAACCTTTTATTTCCCTTCAGGGAGCACCGAGGCCGCCCCTCATCGTTCCTGGTGCTCAGGACAGACCCTCAGGCTCCCTCTGCCTCCCAAACTCCCTGACCTGCACGGGTGAAGCAGCAGCAGCCACGCCGGCGGGGAGGCTCGAGGACTTGGTGCCGATGTCCTGCAGGCTGAAGCTCAGCCCCTGGAGCAGGCTGCTGGCAGAGGCTGCTCCTGAAAGAGCCAGGGAAGGGAAAAATCAGGGAGGATTCACCAGAGTGGAATCCCAGCTGTGTCCTGGGATGTGAAGCTGCTCTTCAATGAGCCTGAGGCTGCTGGTGATTGAAACATGGATTTTGGTTTAGGGTTTTTTTATATGTAAAGTAGCTTTGTATTTTATAAGAATTTAGATAATTAACATTTTATTTATATACCCATATAATATATATATTTATATATATATACTAAGATAAATATAAAAATATAAATATAATACAATATTATATTATCTTTATATATAATACAATATCTTATATATAAATATACATATTTATACATATATATTATATATATGTAAAGATACATATTTATATATAGTACAATATACAAAATAGTATCTTTTATATAGAAATATAAAAATATAATAAATATAATACATTATATTATCTTTATGTATTATATATCTACTTTATATATTTTATTAATATAACATAATATAAATATAAATATAAATATAAATATAAATATAAATATAAATATAAATATAAATATAAATATATTTGTATATGTTATATAAATACATATATATACATATATGTATAATATATCTTTGCATATTTATTAGATATAATTAGTTTTTATTTGTATATAATGTATAGAATAGGCCGTTTGTTCTTCCTCTGTTCCCTTTTTCATTCCTTCTCTGTTCTTTTCCCATGGCTTTCAGTTCCCTGTGAATTGATTTTCTTGTGTCTAATTGTAACTATTCTCCCAGGRTATTACCAGGGATGCTCCCACAGCACATTTTATTTATTAATTATTAATTTAAAAGAAAAAAAAAAAAGTTCCTGGAAACCCAAGGTCTTCAAAGCTGCCAGAACATCAAGCCTTCCAAATGGCTGTGGGTTTGTGTCATTTTCATAAAAATGACACAATTCACAGGTCAGAGGGTGGGTTTGGTGTCTCATTTCATAAAAATGACAATTTTCAGGTCACCCAACAGCGATTCCCTCCAAACTCTGCCCCAGCCAGACCTCCAGCAACAAGGGGATGGAGGAAGGGGGATCCACCAAACCCCGTGAATTCACTGAGCCTTTCCCTTGCTGAGCAGATGAGGGCAGGGCAGGTACCTGTGAGGCCAGTGACRGGCTGGGCCTGCAGGCCATGGCTGCTGCTGGCCACCAGCCGGCTCTGCAGGGCCTGGAAAGCACTGGGGGCTGAGCTGCTGGGGATCCCGGCTGGAGCTGGACTCAGAGAGGCCTCTGCTGCTGGACTCAGCCTGAAACACAGAATCAGAGTCACAGGATCAATCACAGCGTCACAGGATCAATCACAGAGTCACGGAATCAATCACAGGATCAATCACAGAGTCACAGCATCAGTCACAGGATCAATCACAGGGTCACAGCATCAGTCACAGGATCAATCACAGAGTCAATCACAGCATCAATCACAGGATCATTCACAGGATCAATCACAAAGTCACAGGATAAATCACAGCATCAATCACAGCGTCACGGAATCAATCACAGGATCAATCCAGGAAACACAGAATCCATCCCAAAATCCATCTCAGGATCAAGCTCAGGATCACAGAATCAATCACAGGATCACAGAATCACAGAAACACAGCATAAATCACAGGATCAATCACAGAGTCAAGAATCACAAAATCAAATCACAGAGTCACAGAATCATAGAATCAGTCACAAAATCAATCACAGAATCTCAGAATCCCCAGGGTTGGCAGAGACCTTCAAGATCTCCCAGTCCAAGCCCAGCCCTGACACCCCAACCAACTCTTGGCATCAGCCCCACATGCAATGTTTGTTAAACACAGCCAGGGATGGTGACTGCACCCCCTCCCCGGGCAGACCATCCCAGGGCTTTATCATTCTTGCTGTAAAAAGCTTTTTCCCAATACCCAACCTCCATTTCCCTTGGCACAGCTTAGGGGAAATCTCTCGTTCTGTGCCCTCTGGTTCTGCAGCTCTGCCTGGAGAGAGCCCGACCCTCCTGCCCACAGCCCCTTCCAGGAATTTTCAGAGAGCGATGAGGTCACTCTGAGTGTCCTTTTGTCCAGGCTGAGCACCCCCAGCTCCCTCAGCCGTTCCTCACAGGGTTTGTGTTCCCAGCCCTTGCCCAGCCTCGTTGCCTCCTCTGGACACCTCCAGCCCCTCAATGTCCTTCCCAAACTGAGGGGCCAGAACTGGACACAGCACTCGAGGTGTGGCCTCAGCAGTGCCCAGCACAGGGGAGAATGACCTGAATGACCTCCCTGCTCCTGCTGACCACACCATTCCTGATCCAGGCCAGGTGCCATGGGCCTTTTTGGCCACCAAGGCAYCCTGCTGGCTCATGTTCAGTCGGCTGTCTGAAGGGCAAGGGAGAGACCCCAGTGAGGGATAAAACTGCCCAGGGTGGGCAGGGACAGCTGTGACAGCGAGCTRGMACTGCCCYGAGCAAGGGAGAGACCCCWGTGYRGGATAAAACWGCCCAG